ACTCGATAGGGGGCGAACGCGGTGCAATTCTTTGTTTCACTTTATAATAAACCGAACTTTTGATTAAACTCATGTTCGATCAAGGAATAAAATGTAATGAGACTTGCACGATTTTCCTCGCTAGCGCACGCCACTCCAACTCACTCCTTGAAAATTGGAACCCCTGCTAGTTACACTAACCCAATGCAAACGGCCACTGCGGTCCTCTTGGAGATGTAAGGGAAACAAAATTAAACATAAAGCTATTTGTTAAGCCAGTTAAGGGAGTACTTTGTTACGTTAAGATGAGAGAGCAGTTTGCTAAGTTAAGGTAAGATAACAGTTTGCTAAGTAAGGTTAAGAGAGCAGTCTGTTAAGTTAAGTTAAGAGAGCAGTTTGTATCATGTTACAGCCTCGACTAATAAGAGTGCATGATGACAAATCCTTTTCTTGTCATCTAACTGGTTCAGAGATGTCACGTTACCTCACTAATACACTACTCTTTAATACAAAGTTAAAAAGGACTTCGCTGGTATTTTTGATCGCCTGGGGGGTGATCGCATGGTTTTCTGGGGGAACAGAGGAGGGATCAGTTCTCGCTAACAGATTATAAAGGGGGAATGTAAAAAACTTGACTGCCAATGCGGGAGACCCGCAGCCTTAGGTGGGGATCAAAAAAATGAGTGTGCCCCGATGGTGCTACGAAAAATAAAACGAAGATCCAGTCGAAAAAAGTTAGAATACAGGTAAAAACCCTGGCTTTGTTACGTTTACAATTTTAATGAAGTTTGAACATGAATGAACACTACAAAAAAATTTTTTAGTTGAAACCCTTATACAACTTTATATTTGTCATGTTCATAATAAACGACGGCATGAAACGGTCTGTCTCTTCTAGGGATAATATTTTTTCATGTCCATCAGGAATTTGTCATACGCTGTATCTCCCTCACTTGCATTGGTGTCTTCCTCACTGAGATTTAAAGAAAGAGTAACAAGAAGTTTTTTAGTTCAGTAAGATCAGATGGGAGATCAGGATGTTCCGAAGGCAAAGCCAAGCACTGAAAGTTCCCTTAAAATAAACTTTCGCTTTTCCAGTGAATTTTGTCAGCAATTCCCTGTGTTTATCTTCTCTCACGACGCCAGATCTCCCCTAAGTAATCGTAAAATGTGAATGCAATATTAAGTTTATAGTAGACACGTGCACTATTTGCATTCGCAAGTGCTGTTTTCAGATTAAAAAAAAAATGGTGATTTTACGTTTTTTTTTTTCGGAAAGGATGGCCGAGTAATGCAAACTGTGCATTGTTCCAATCATGAAAATCTTTTATTTCCAAACATTCTTGTTGCCGTTGCTGTCTTGGTCCCTATCAACAATCCTCAATCAAGACGCAAAGACCCTCTTATCGACAAGTGTTACGTGGCAAGGAGGACTGACCGCTTTTTTTTGTTTTAACGCTCATAAACACTTGCTACAGAAGAGTGATTTAGCCGGGGTTTATAGGTGGCCCTGGTGTGGTAAAAATGCCCTTAAAGAAGTTGTAAATGTACTTGCTATCTTCTTTAGGAGGTCTGCAGCATCTCAGGCCATCTGCACAGTTGAGTGAAGGTGAAGAAGGACAGTTTACTGCTTGAAAACAGTCTCCCCAAGGAATGCCAGACGGAAGACTGCACGGTTCTCCCTCTTGCTTTTGTATCTTTGGTCCTTTTTTACTTTTCTTACCTGTATACAAATGCTCATATCAGGAAAGTTTAGTTGGCACAACCAACCTCATCGGCTAGGCTTCTCTCTATCATGTTTTCCATGGAATGGTAACTTCATTCCATCTTGGTCGGAGTGAGGGCAGGAAACTGGCAAAATATTCTGTAGTGCTTGTGCAAAGTGTGACTAAGATTTCACTTTAACTTGAAATTAGACGAGCATTGGCGCTTTTGATCATTTAAAAATGAGACATTTTGTGAGAAATAAAGCTAAATTTGCCGACTTAAGTTCTGTGGGGTGATCGACCATCGACCGCTCAAGATCCGTACCCTTCAATTGAGACCCTCTGTCGGAATAAGAAAACTTTACTTTCCAAATATAGTAACTTTAGAGCTTACCTTCTACAGTGCAACAAAGCAGAGCCACCAAGGTAAGACAAATCAAGACTTTCATGATGTTGTTTCTGTTAGCACAGAAGAAAGCAAAAAAGCAGCTAAGTTTCATTAGCAGGACAAAGTCGACGAAGGACGAAGGGTGAGGCTCTCTGTTTTACCACAACCTTCGCATACTGCACAAGTATGAAAGTGGCACAAATACTGCACGGTTCTGTACACAAAGTCTCAATTGATACTTACGGCAACTACTTAAAGAGAACTTTTCTGTTTGAAACTCAGGCTGAAGTGCTTGGGTAGAATTACCCTCAGCTCTTTTAAAGTAATTTGGGCTTATCTGTTAGCCGGAAACGTGTCCATCATAGACAGACGAGTACTTATCATACCATCTACACCTGTGCGATGTCTGTGTGAAAATGTTTAGCTTCGAGTTTTTTTTTCTATCGAAACGACTATCAATTGCACTTTCTATTCCACTGTAGTCAAGATCTGGTCGAATTAAAATAAGGTTGAAATAAAGAAATTGCAATTTACCGAGTAACATCGATACTTATTTACTCTCAAAGTTTCTAGAAAAAATATGGTGAATTTGTTTATACAACAATAGCTTGTAAAAGTGTAAATAGTGCTTAGTGCGAAGACGGTAGAGACCTCCTTTCCAAAAATCTCCAGAATATTGTGGAGAGAAAATTCTTGAAACAAAATTAAAATTTTTTTTTTGTCAAAGTTCCCCTAACCGCAATGATATAGCAACATTTCGGCTATAAAAAAAACTAAACCCTTCCAGAAATCGGATTATAACTCGTACAAATAAACCAAAAGTGGTAGGAACAGGTGTTTTCTTTGTCTAAAGCTATTTTCCAAAAGAAAGACAGCAAAAGGTTACCTCAATAACGACATGAAATGCAAGGTGTAAACTTGCCACTAATGAGAGCGGAAACTTAGGTTTCTGTTAGTAGCATTTCAAAAGAAATCTACTTTGTTCCTTGAACAATACGGACATCAGTAGATAGGGCAATATCATTACTTTTATTAGAACTTTATGGCGCTTTGATAAGACAAAATTATCAAAATCAAACATCTTTCACCATCTTAGTGTAGTGTTCTATAGAACGGCTTTGTGCAATGTACCTCCAATATGCATAGGTCCCAGAAAGAGCACAAAAGACGACTTCTATTTACACCAAGCTCAACAAACATAACAATGCGAACAAATTGTCCGGACAAGAATTTGCATTCTTATTTCACATTAAAACAAGATAATATAAACAATTTGACTCATAATAAGATGAATTAACACTGAAAAAGATACGGGCGAGTAATAAAAGGAGAAATATGGTTTTGATGAACGGGTTTTGATGAATCAAGGTTCTAAATGTTGAAAAAAAAATGACAAATTGAATTTTTTTTTCAAAAAAGCAAACAATTTACATGACAAAACGAGTTCCTTTGAATGTTTTGGTGAGGATCTTAAACTGCAGAGTACGATTTCACTCTGGGCTTATAAAACTTTGTAAAGGGTTTTGGCTCGACTCAGGCCGAAGCAGTGTGGATCAAAAGACGTTTTTCAACGAGTACTTTTTTTTACCTCTGCATTTCGTTTTCTAAAGATTATTACACGTTGGTACTACACTAGCTCAAAATAACAACCAGTTACTTGAATGGGTATTTGAAAAGATAGTTTTCTAAAGATAGCTGAAAATATCGAAGTGATTAACTCAATCGTCCTGCAATTTTTCCAAAGTTTCCGATAACAGGCGATGTAAACAATCATAGGAGGATAAAATTATTTTTGAAGGTTTTATTCATTAATTACAGGATAGAACATAGGAAAATATTTAAGCAATATAGCTGTAATAGTGAAACCACAAGGATCAAGATAACAAGAATTAGTTTATACTGAAACAGTGAGTAGTGTTGAACACATGCTGTGATCGGCTTAAACTCTGAATATCTTTATCGAATAGCCTTATTTATTCACCTCCGAGCAATTCGCGCGGGATTTACGCCCGAAAATATTGTAATCGTTGCAGGAATAAATGTGTTAAAATCGAATTATTATCTCACTGTTTTAGTATATATACTTTAACAACTATTCAACTATTCTATTCAGTGTCGGCTCGGGAAATACTCCACTAGCCACTTACACTGAGTTGAGTAGTTGTTTAATATTGTTCACCAATAGCATGGAAAAACACTAGTTTTAATTCTAACACAGTCTGTCTATCTTGAGGAATTTTCCCTGAAGTTTTTCAATTTTTTCATTTTCAATCGCTATCCTAGGCTTCCAACAAATATTCTCGCTTTTTTTCTCTCACCCTTTGGGGTTCCCCAATAAAGAATATATATATATTTTTTTCGTTTCAAAGATAATAATCTTCAACGCGCTTTTAACAGACTTAAGAAAAATCTAAACTTTTCTCGTTTAAGACTTGGGTTCGACAGAAATAAAACGATTAGGACCAACATACAAAACTATTTATGAAAATCGTTTGTGTAAATTCAAAAGGGGGTGGCCATAAAATCAAAGTACGCACATATCAATTTTGTCAATGAAATACGTTTTTAAAACGTAGGTTACAGCTCCATCTGACGCCACGTTTCGTTTCGGTCAGAAGACACTTTAAAGGCCTTTAGGAATCTTTGGCAATCACATTTTACGGTTTTTCAATTCCAAAGGTGAAAAATATTATGTAATCGCAAGAGTGAAGAGTGATTACCAAAATAGGAAAACTGCGTTGCGAAATTGTCACTCAAAAAGAAAAAAAAATATTCTCTTACTGAAAAAAAATGCGCAGGAATTGAATAATGTAAGTGTAAATTTCATCGGAGACGAAAGCATAAAGATGAATTCAGTAATTCGTTTAAGAGTGAAAAATAGGGAAGCAAGTGAAAAAAATCAAGTATTCATATCACGAGGAAATCATGCATGTTAGCCAGGGGTTATGGATCACAACAAATAATAATAAATACCGTTCCTCATTAAATTGATTCAATGCCTCTCTAAAGAAGGTATACAATATTTGAGTCAAGTTTCTGCTCGAAATCATAACTGATTGCCAATCATGACATTGTGACACTGTGAACCACAATGACAAGGCAGGTTCTTTAAAATTTACTTCATTTAGTATTTTAAAAATGCCCTGGACTTTTGAACGAACTTAGTGCCCCTCTGATGAAGGTGCGCCATCACATTATTTGAGTTACTGATCCAAATCATAAATTACCAAACTAGATACAGTAAAACCTTAAACCATAACGTCATGGCGAGTTCTGTTAGCACTCTTTCTTTAGCTACCCTTGACTCTTGAACGAACTTATTTTTCTGATTAGCATATGAAAAAACCATTCTTTCCTCTTGTTTTGTGCAAGGTAGATCCACCTTAATTACGCGATACTTCAAAAGAGTTTGGGCCTTTAAAACTGTGTTTTACACCTAATTCTTTCAAGCCAAGCGAGAGGAACCTCACCAAAATAAGGGCTAGTGTCGAAACGATTTTGTTTAAAAAGATAAAGAAACCAAACAATTAAGAGTGCCTCAAGGCGACTCCTAGTTGGCTCCGTTTCCGTTGATGAAAACAAAAGAGAGAGCTAAAAGGCCAATTTAGTTTTAAAAATTAGGAATATTATTTAGTCTAATTAAAAAAAAATATATACAATGGTTGAAATTAAAGCCTTCAGGTTTAACGTGCAAGCTAATCTCCATATTCATAATAAAAAAATTCTGTCCTTTTTCTAAATTGTGAGTTTTCATTTTGTCTTTATCTAATATGTCTTTCAAAGCTGTGTGTGTTTGACGGAATTTTTTTTCCTGGAACAAGAAAGCAAAAGTATATTGATCTTAATGTGTCCCTCGTATTTGCATCTTTGCTGTTGAAACTTAGTCGTCTAGACAATATTTTTTTTTCTCTATTTTCAAACAAGTAAACGAGCCGCAATAATATAGAAATTCTGTATCAATCTATCCTCATGGTTAAATTCCTTTTCGTATTCCTAGCATAAATTTTTTTCATAAATTGAAAAAAGTTGAAATAAGCTGAAGAAGAACAAGCTCAGCCTACACATACAAAATTCCTAACAGAATCTGTAGGGGTAACTAACGCAACATAATGTCGTCCAACAACGTGCAGAAAAACTGTCCATCATAGAAGTGTAAGAGCCCGTACACATACAAATAAATACAACACTAAGAATCGAATCGGACTAATCCCAAATTGTTGGATTAAAATGCTTTAGCATAAGTGAAGTTTCTTATAATTCCATCATGAAAAGGCTCGTGAAACGTTTTCAACTATCAATTTCTCATATATATATTTCTAAAACTCTTGAGCTTGGGGCTAATTGTCACGTTTAACTCAGCTTAAAAAATAATTGTTTTTTTTTAATCACTGGTTGGTGCTAGTAAAAGAGATTCTCTTTCAAATTTCAAATTTGAATCGGGCTGTTAAAGAAAAAACGGGCCTCCATGGAAAAGTCTTCAAACTCTGTGCGGTGAAAGCTTAATTGCATAATTGATTAATGCTCAGTTTCAGGGGTAAACCAATTTTAAGGGATATCCCTCAAATCTGAGTGGCGTTTTGAACCAAAACTAAGATCATGTATCCTTTTAAAGAATGCATATATCTAATAGTATGGTTAAGAAGACTAATACTCACAACATAAACAGCTAATTTGAACTTGGCCATGAGAAAAAATTGGAACGTTCAACAATTTTAAAACGCCTAAAAAGTTGACACGAGTGAATATCATGTACCTCGATCAGGATAAGTCTTTTGTTTGTAATAGAGCTGGATGTGGCTTCCTTTTCAAAGTAGAATATCCTATAAGTGGTTTTTTGTTTGAAGCAGTGTGATTCAACGAAGACGAAACTGATTAAACTTCTCTGAGTCACTATTATACATATCATGCGCAAACTCTATCAATATTTGTACTTCATTTGTCGTTGCTTGTCAAATGAATGGCCCCCCTGAGAAATGATCTAATTGGTTTTAACCAAGCCGCATGTGCTAGTCATAGGTAATGATGGGAAGGGGTAAGTTAAGAGTACCTGGTCACCTTCAATTGAGCGTTGCCACGAGAATTCCTACAACATGATTGGCTAGGAAATATCAAGGGCGAGTTTTTATAGACGTGAAAGGAGTTGAGGTGGTTTCCATGCAACATGCTTGCCTCAGTGAAAAATTCTTGAAAAAGAGGTGGGTATCAAGCTTAAGTTACATAAATTTAGTTACAAATTGTGCGGAACGGTACACTGGAAGTGTGAAATGTAGGGTGGCAGTAAACCTAGAATACAGCTATTTTTTAAATGGACGAATTTCGATATTGCCTGTTTTACTTTTTCGTGTTGTCTATGAGTATGTAATTGCATCGAAATTGCAGTTTTAGCTTACTGATACTCAAAATACATTCATTATTAATATTTACCAGGATTAGCCCATGCTATATGTGGGTTGTTGTCTAATTTGTGATATTAAAATCTGTGTCGCAATAAAATAGTAGGAGCGGTAGTAGGGCAACCTACTTTAGTCTGCCGAGATTAAGCTTGCTGTGATAGTGGATGAAAGGCAGTGAAAATCTTATATTTGAGACTAACTACGTCAGTTCAATGACTACTTGACATTGCATAACCGATTGACGACACATCAAAGTGGAAACCGATCTCTGCAATCAACGGAAACGCTGAGGTTATAAGTAACGGACGACATCCTTAGAGCGATGGATAGCAGGCAAATAACAACAAATCACCAGCTTATAAACCCTGATAAAACTAAACTTGTGCTCCTTGGAACACTGCAACTTGCATCAAAGTTACCTGACGTCACTGTACCCTTTCTTGGACAACAACTATGCCCTGTCTCGTCCGCCAAAGACCTGGCTGTTACCCTGGACTCTGGCTTAGCATTCAATAATCATATCTCATTGTTATCGTCATCTTTGCAAACTAATTTATTTAAAATAAGTAGGGTTCGCCACCTGTTCTCCATGGAAGTTCTGTATATAATGATTAACTCTATTGTGTTTAGTAAATTATTCTACTGTTCTGCGTATTTCCTGATCATATTACACCGGCTTTGAATGCTCTTGGCTGGCTAACTATAGAGGAGCAACTTCGATTGCTTGATGTGACAATGATGTATAAATCAATTTAGTGCCAGCATATATTAGCTGTAAAATAGAGAAGCGCTCAACATCGCACGTTTACAATCTCCGCAACAGTGAAGATCTAAATTTGCCAAAATGCCGGACAACGGCTGCCCAGCGTGGTTTCTTTTATAGGGTAGCAAAAGCGTGGAATAGTCTCAGTAACAACACTAGAACTGCTCGATCACTAAGATCATTTAAAAAGCATGCAAAGGCTAAATTAGCGAAGAAATAGGATACCGGTCTCTCAACTTATAACTATAGAATATTTAATAGTGTTAGTTTTTATGATTGTTCATTTAGTAGTAGTAATTTTAAGTTATTTCTATATCAAGTACAAGTAAGTTATTATTTTATATCATTAGTCTTTTATATTATATATACACATTGTAAATTAATTCTGAAAAATCCCTTGGGCAGAATTAAATAAAGTTTGTAGGTATGAGACAAAGAACTCACTGCACGTTCCTTTTTTTTTATATGAAAATTACCAACTTCTGCATGACAACTTCAACCACAGGCAGCCCAAGCTCCAGCTGTAAGATGATTAATGGAAATGGATAACTCGCTAAAATGGGTTCTTTTCATCAAAGTAAGCGGTCAGATAACAAGTGAT